CGTTTTTTAAAAATACAAATTACACACCGCTTTACTTGAGCTACGTTAGATTGAAACAGGTGCGTTTTAGCGTAATTTTGGGGAAACCAGCTCGAGTGCGCTAGAATTTGAAAATACACAACCGGAAAAAATCTGACACTTCCTTACGGAGCTCCTCCTCCAACACACGAACGCGCACATGACCAATGAGGGCACGAGATAAGTTTGTGCACAGATGGAAGGCTGACAGGCACGTAGTCCGTCCAGTTATTATTTTAGCCGGGCCGGCTCAAATGATTGATCGTGCTTTTTACATTACTACGGCTTCCAGAGATGACATTTTTTATGGATTTTTTGTCAAAGCACTTCAGATATTCATTGCTATCGGGATGTTAAGAGCATTCCATGGAATATAACACAAAGTGTATCTCAAGCCGGTTTCTCAAACTTACCTACCCCACCTTTAAATGGCTGTTGCAAATATACCCAAAATATTCCTGATTGATTTCAACTATTGACCTTTTTTTGCATTTCATTCCCCTTCCTCTTCCACTGTTTCCAGTATTTCTCTGACATTGTCACTAACTATATTAGAAAATATATATAAAAATAATATGAAAAGCTGAGATATTAAGTTGAAGAATCTTCTTCCTACCGTCACTCTATAATCGTGAACAACTTTTCCTCTTAAATATGAAAAACCAAAAGTACATTTCAAAGGTTTCACTGAAATGCAGACCCAGTTGTGATTTTGATACACACTCTGAGTACAATGACAGATTGGGGTGTTTATCCGCAGCCTTTAATGGCATGTTTTCAGCAGAAAAAAGGAATCACATCCTCCAATGACTCCAGCATTTTTTAAACATCTTAAGCGCTCCTCCAAAGACCATATAACAAGCATTTGCTTGTTTGCAGTTGCTTGTTATGTTATATACTCTCTGGTTGTAAAGTAACACTGTTTTGAGAGCGAAGCTGACAGCGCTAACAAGCCGTTGGTAATGTAGAAGCTTTTATTCTGCCTTTATTTCCAAGACAGGTAAAATCTCCTCTGGTTAAAAAAAGGGGGGTTCTGCTTGAAATGTACAAAGGAAGCTATCAGTTTGGCTGTGTTTGAGGCCATGAGGCAGTATAGGTGATGAGAGGAGGGGGGTGGGGGTAGCAGGAAATGTTTAGGAGATCCTGTGTCTCTCTGGGAGCCTAATAGAATCCTGTGGCTGCAGCGAGAGCTCATTGTGCCGGAGTAAAGGATTACACTGGTAAACTGGTAAAACAGGGGAAAGAGCCCAAACACTCTCTACCTCCTATGGAGAGGCAACGAACCATCGAACAATGAGAGGGGAGAGCGTACTGCAAGCTGAATCATTTCATCTACGGAATAAAAACCTGGAGAAAGTAGTGAAAGAGCTGCGAGAGGAAGAAGATAGAGGAAATAGATCAGGCAGTTCATATTCATGCATGTGCTTGGGCATAACAATAAGCATCTAGTGGAAGAGGAGTGAAGGATGGGAAGGAAGGAGAGCAGGAGGGGCTGCATGGACAACAGTTTCAGTGCTAGAAGGTAATATGGGGAAATGATGTCGGTGTTGCTTGTCTGTCTGCATCCTGAGTGACAGTTTACAATCTCTGAGGCAGCAGGCGGGCCGAGCAGGTCGGCTCTTTGGCTCCATACGATCTCTCATTTCTCTTTCCCCCCCCTCTCTCCCTCTCTACCCTGCACCTCTGGCTCTCATCTGTTTCCAGCCATCTTTAATCTTAACCACCACTTCCTCCTCTGCATTTTGCCCACATTTAAACACATTTCTTTCCTCTTACAGCTCACGTTTGATGGGCAATTATTTTTTTCATTGTACTGTGCTGAATGAACGACATGCGAGTAATTTTTTGACTAAAGTATTAAGTTGTCTAATACTTAAGCAGCTGCTTTATAATGATTTCTAACAGGCCGTCTGTTCTTTAGTGAGGCTATAACTACAAATGATGAGCCAAATGGCTCTCTCTCTGCACCCGGCCTCCCATTCATCAGTAAAACTGTTAGCTGACTTTCCAAAAGTGTCACCTTATTAATTCAAAACCTGATTAATGTTGAGCTAATATTTTATAAAAAACTACCTTTTTCTACCTTCAGTTTGTCATCTTTAACAGGTTTTAAAAGCTAAGGAATCAAAATAAAGATTAGGAATAAAAATTAGGAGGTTTTATTGCGGCGGAAAATCCCTGCCAACGTGTGACGAACAGGTACATTTCCCACAGTTTACACGGACAACGCGTAAGTAAAGCATTAATCTCCTCTCATCTGCTGTTCAAATGGAAACCACGCTGAGCATAATGCATCATCTGCATTCTGCAACCTGCCACGCTGAAAGACTCCTCGCTCTCTTCATCTCTGTTCCTTCAAAGGCTGCCGAGGGTGTATTCAAACAGCAGGATACACACTCAGCTAACAAACCTCATTAAGGGCCCATACACACTGTCTCAATGCTAACACTAGCTGTCACACATCCCCTCTCAATGCATACACTGGTGGCCACACTGGCCGCGACAAAGCATCTTTACAGAGCTAATTAGAAGGGTCCCCCTATCTATTTGAAACTCATCTGAATAGGAGGGAAGATGACAACACCGAGGGGAGAAGGAGATAAGAGAAGGAGGGACAGGCAGGAGAAAGGAGAGAGAGAGAAGTGAGGACGCTTGCTAATACACTCAAATAGATAGCAGCCGTGTCTTTTTATAGGGTGGAATTAAAGAAAGGAGCTGAATCAGGCAGGGGGACTCTAATTAGTGTGACACCGCTCTGTGCAGGACTGGTGCAACGGGGACGGGGAGGGAACTGAGTGCTGCACCGCTTTGATCGGTGTGCCAGTAGAGAGAGACGGAAGGAATGGGTGTGACACCAGCTTCATGGGGGAGGCAGCTGGACGCTATTTCAGAAAGCTGTGTTAAAAATGCTGCACTTAAACGAGTGATTAAACAAACTGGAACAAATACAAAATGTGGAATAATTAGCTAAATTAACCTGGGTTTGCATTGAACCAAATAAGTGTGAGACGCTTACGTGTTTCTTTGCCTTTTTAATTTATGACAAATGTTGCAAAGCTTGCTGATGAAAGAGATGATCAGCATTCATGGTCTAAATAAAACATCGCTGTGTCTTTCAGCTCCGTATTTAGAGAAGGACAGAAGGTCACACTGAGAGTTCAGCCCCAAAAACATTCCTCCAGAGTTGCCCTATCTTCCTCCGACCCTCCTCCATGTCATGTTTACATTTTTCTTTTGTGTGCCCTTGAAGCAAGCTGTGTGAGTGTGTGTGTGTGTGTGTGTGTGTGTGTGTGTGTGTGTGTGTGTGTGTGTGTGTGTGTGTGTGTGTGTGTGTGTGTGTGTGTGTGTGTGTGTGTGTGTGTGTGTGTGTGTGTGTGTGTGTGTGTGTGTGTGTGTGTGTGTGTGTGTGCAGGCAGACAATGCCAAGTTGACAGTTAGGGTCTCGGATCAAGCACAAGGCCAAGGTTGTCTCCACAGACTGGGTGAATGGACTCATCAACAATTGCAGAAGTAAAACCTAAATTTGTTCTCAAAAACCACCTCAATATTTTGGCATCAAAGCTTAAAAAAAAAGATGATATTAGTACGCTTAAGAATGAACAAATAACAAATAATAATAATAAAATATTAGGCAGTGGCTGTTTTTAAATGTAACAAGAACAGAATGCAAATTAAATGTAAAAAAAAAAAATGAAAGAAAGGAAACGGGAAAATGTTCAATCCTCAGCTTAATTTTAAGTTCAAGTTTAAGTTATGACCAGTGGCCCCAGATGATAGTGCAAAGCATTCTGGGAGGATAGCAGGTGTCCCCAATGTCACAGAGCTTCCCAGACAGCTTGTTAATTTGCACACGTTTTACACACACATCTCTCCCTCTATGTGTGTGTGCATGCATGTGTATGTATGTGTGTATATATTAGCGATGGGACTTGACCCTAGCGAGCTGCGGCAGTGTTTCGCGTCTTGCTGGGCGTGGGAAAAAGACGGGACCCCTTTTCACAGCTGCCTCAGCCGAGGCCTGGGCTGCTGGGGGCCCCTGTACCCCCTCGACACACACCCCCGACTCCCCCCTCCTCCCTCCATCCCATTCAGGCTCCGGCCTACTGGCTTTCAAAAGCAGGACCCCCTTCCCAGCCCTTCATAAATACATCTCATTATTCAAGCCCTAGTTTGCATAGGGATTCCAAAGAGATCTCCACTCTGCTCGTGAGGCCTGAAGCCTCTCAGCCTTTTGGACCGCACAAGTGCAAATTTCGACTTAGTAATCTCCCTGTGTTAATATTTGTTTTAAAACAAAGTGTGCACACTTGCAAAACTGTTAAACCAATATTGCAACTGTCTTAACATTTCTTTTTCTATGCATCTCACTCTTAAAATCTCTCCTTTATTTCCCGAAATGTGGTGGAAAATCGGAAGTAAACTAAAACCAGTGAAAAGAGAGTTTAGCATGACTATTAGCAAGTACTTTGCTAGTCTGTATTCCATCTGCCACTGGCTATTGTACAGTACACACACACACACACACACACACACACACACACACACACACACACACACACACACACACACACACACACACACACACACACACACACACACACACACACACACGTTAGTGCAGGGTGTGTTGGACGGTCCATGACGTTGCCAGTGTGTGTTAAAAGCCAGAGTTATTTTATTTAAGGAGTTTTCTCTCTGGGTCTTACCACGCTTTGAGGGTTTACCGGAAAAAGAGGCTGAGCGCTGAGAGCCATCTGAGAGCAGAGGACAGCGTCACACACACTCACACAGTGACGGCCCTTCATATAATCCGCTGACACACACACCAGCAGCTCATTAGCTGATATACTTCCTCTTGAATTTAAAGAGTGCCTGCAATGACGAATGTTTACCAAATTTTTCGCACATTTTTACAGATGCCAACCTCTGGAGTGCCTTGAACCTGCATTCTCTCTAAAATCCAGCAGGGGGCGACTCCTCTGGTTCGATTGTATGGATGCGAGAAAATGACCCTGCTTCTAATTTACAAAATAAATTAGTGTTAAGAGACTAAAACTACTGAATTTCCTCATGGGGATTAATACAGGTCCATCTTATCTTATCTTGAAAACATTTCAGAAGTTTTGGGTTTTAACTAAATGTAATCTTTGTAATGTGTGTAGTGGGCATTAAACTTCACTAGTTCAAACTAGTATTATTCAAATTGAATAGAAGTCTATAAAAAAATTGCCTACTTCTAACTAACACAATAAATTAGTGTTGAGAGACTAAAAACATTTAAGAAGTGTTGAGTTTGAACTAAATGTAATCTTTGCAATGTGTGTAGTGTTCGATAAACTCCACTGCAAAATAAGATCTGGTTGTATAGAAGTCAATTAGAAAATTAGTATACTTTTCCTTATGAGTTTATGGTTTGTTCAGTTAGTAAATGATGGTCCCATTTGGGGTGGAATAGGCGATAAAGCAGCATATGGTTTAGGGATTGTATTGAAGTCTATGAACAAAATTAACCTACTTCCCACTTATAAATAAATAAGTGTTTGGAGACTGAAAAGTGAGATCTTATTTTCGGTTTACAGCAAGATATTTGAGAAAGGAGACTCTGAGAAACAGGCTGAAAATCCACCTTTGCAGACATTACCCTTTAAAATCCATCTGCTCCTACATCCACATAAATATAACACACTCTCCCACACACACACCATCAGGATCATGTCTGTGTGAGGTGTTTCGGTTTCAAACACATGCACAGGTTCTGCAAACACAAACTGTGTGTGAGTTTGTCACTTATACAGTACAGAGCATGCTTCCAGCAAACACACCATAAAGTGTGTGTGAATGGCAGCTCACCCAGAACCATCAGCTCACACACACACACATAGTTTGGAGGTCAAACATGATGGGTGTGTGTGGTTCTGGGTTTCATTCGGCATGCATTCATCCAAGTGGCGTCAGAGAAAAGCGGTGGATGGCAATAAGCAGGATGGCATGGAGAGGCAGACAATATATAGATAGATAGATAGATAGATAGATAGGTGGAAAGATAGATAGGTGGAAAGATAGATAGATAGATAGATGGATGGATAGATGGATAGATGGATAGATAGATAGATAGATAGGTGGAAAGATAGATAGATAGATAGATAGATAGATGTAGATGTGGGTTATTGGCACATCTACAGGTGATGGTGACCGAGGTTGTGCCTGATAACAGTTCCCATCTATGGCAGTGACTTCGTTCTGTTCAGCTCTGAGTTTCGTTTCAGATTATTGTTCCAGCTGGCAAGTGGCTGACCACAAAAAAAACTTGTTCGCCGCCATAATATGTTTGTTTGTGTGAGGGTGTGTATAGGCTCACCTTAACAAATCAATGAAATGCGGAAAACAAATCTAGAACTGTTTTCTTAAGAAGTACAAATTTCCTTTTTTCAGAGTTTTTTTGAAGGAAATAATGTACTATAGGTTTTTATTAATAACTTTTTTTGCATGGCTTTTATTTTCCTTTTTTGTCTATGTTTTGACCGACTATAAATATATTTTTTTCAGTTTTGAATCCAAATGCTTTTATTGTAAAATCTTATAATTTTGATTCTAAATCTGATTTTTTTTTAATTGTACATAATATGAATTGCAAAACCGTACTTCTCAGTGTAAAACTATATATTTATTTTAAATCTGTTGGATTTTTGTTAAGGAACCCCTGGCTATGCACGCTTTTAGGTAAAAAAAAGTCATGCCTGCTGTACTATATTCTCCATAATTAATTAATTACCACCCACAGCCCTGTCAATTAGTTATTGAAACTAATTGAATTATCTCATTGCACCTTTAGAAAAGAAAAGAAAGCCTCAAATATAGGAACAAATTAACAATTGTTGTAGTACATTTATATGTTATACTTGTCATTTTGGAGTCACTGATTGTTAGAAATACTCTCTTTAAGTCTATGAATTAATAATGCTAATCTAGATGAAAAAAAAAAACAATCCTTAAAATGCTAACTGTTACAGCAGTGTGTGTGTGTGCGTATGTTTTGGTATACTTGTGAGGACCACATTTTAATAAACAACCCGTTCTGTGAGGACACTTTTGGTTATTATAGCCGAACTCTTTGGTGAATGTGTGTGTTCGTTGTAGATACTCTGCGTCACCACCAGAGGGGACCATTATCAAGAGAATAACCACAGATACAAGACACAGTGTCACACTAACAAACAGAAACTAACAGGGAGGACACACAGTCACTCTTTCTGTTCTTCCATATTTTTATAATCCATCCATCTATAGGCAGCCCAAAATATCCAATAACAACAACAACGAATATTTCGTAGACTTTTGGGGAGTTGTTGCGACACTAAATAAGTATGAATGCTTCTGGAAATGTGCATATTGCTACTTATTTTACACTTTAAAGCTGCAAGAAAAATTCCAATTTGACGTGTGTGTGTGTCTATGCACGCCATGGTATGTGCAGGGGCATGCACGTGGATGTGCTAAAAGCAGAGTGCCGAGCCGAGGGTCCGAGCCGAGGAGCCGCTGAGCTGTGAGGAGAGCCAGGATGCCGGGGGGAGGGAGGCTGTGAGGGGGCGGGGGGTGAGGTTTTGGGGTGTAG